TTAATCTGAATATACTACGACAAAACCAGTGACTGGAGATGCTGAATAAAGCTCTACATTCCTAGTTATAGCACCTGCTCAGTTACCTTTTCAACAACGACAGCCATTGTTAGATCATCCGTAAACAAATAAAAAATAACATGGAAAAATAAACATATAATGTTTGTATTTGTAAACCAAAAGAGGACACAGTATAATTTATCATGATTTAAAACTGATGAAAAGAAAAACAAGTATCTCCAAAATTGTAACTTTACAGGAAAAAGCAAATATGTTCTTAACGTTTAATGTATGTTAATGTAAAGCAAAAGTATGCCGAGTAATTTTGAAGCACTTCTATTGGTCTATTGATCATGAAATTTCCACATAACATAAAAGGCAACTGCTGTGTTCAAATGATGTAGAAAAATAAAAATCGACAAACATGAAGATTTCTGTTTGGACAGCAACATTTGGACATTAAAACAAACGAAAGAAAGAAACAGAAGGGTAGATGTACTGATACAGAATGAAGAACATGCAAATGTAAATGTAGTTCATTGCTTAACTAACTGTAATAAAATACAGAATTGCTGTAGTCTGGAAGACAAATTCCTGACGTGAACAGTGGAGTCCTGTTGGTATTTCAAGTGCTACACTCAGCTTTGAATCATTGTGCTCAGGTCAGCAGCACGACAGATGGCGTGCGAGTGGTTATGTATACCTGAACAAGCGGCCACAGAATGCAGAAGGCTCTTTGATGTCAGCTACATAAGTGTTAAACACAGTCTGAACTGATGGCAGCATCACTTCCTGTGCCAAGCCATTAAACTCCAGCCAAAGGAGTCTGTAGATTAGGCGAGAAAAGGAAAATAATGAAGGGAAGTGGAAGGCATCAAAGAAGGCTGGGGGACAGGGGGTGCGTGTGTGTGCCATTCGATTTTCTTTTCCAAGGGACAGGTAAGAACGCTGGCCTGAGTGAGAGAGAGAAAGGGAGAGAGGGAGGGAGAACGTGCGAGAAGGATGGAGAAAGGAGCAGTTTTTCATTTTTAATCGCACAGTAATTGTTTACCGCTCACAGAACACGAACAGATGACTTTTTTTTTTCCTCCTTCTCAGATGGAAAATCACAGATGCAATCAATTCGTGGCCCTGCATGAGTGTGTTTTCCCTTTTCTGCCTTTTCATTATAAATACAAGAACATTCAAGGTTTTTTTCCTGGGGAAAATGCAGTCAGGAAAGTGGAGAAAACGGTCCATGGAGTTTGGAGATTTGGAGAAGTAACAAGGATCCAATCACCTCTCCTCCTCTCGCCGGACTGGCTCCCAATCAGTCGCTTCCATTGTCTCAATGCCGATAGCCAGAAGCGAATAGTCTTTCTAAATGTATTCCATTAAAAGTTTTTTATTCGAGATGCTGCCGAGCCCATAAGAACATCACTAGGCTCTCCCCACGGCCTGTGTGTTTAGCCCTTATATTAGCAGCGAGCCGAGAGGAGCTGAGGCGGCAGCATTGGCAGAGGATGTGTGCATTTTTGACTAGGGGGATTTTCAGCTTGATTCAGGCCTTTAAAAACAAAGACTTTGCACTAAGTTAGCAGCACAGCCATCTGTTTTGGTCGTTGCCTCAAACAAATCCTCACTGTAATGACTTTTAAAATGCTTTCCCCACCCTCGAAGCTGGAAAGAAATAGCTTCCGCTGACGGAATTTACACAGATGAGGATAAATATTGACCCTATCAGCTAAGCCATGCGACTTACAAAACTAAAACTAATTTCTTTTTGCTTTTTTTGCTAAGCAGAGATAAAAAATTAAAGAAAACATTTTTGCCAGTTGATGGAGCATGGGTGTGTGGCCCCTGTGCGTGTATCTCTGCATTAAATAAAAGATTAAGCCTCAGGTCTCTGGCGTATTGCACGCACAGCGGCGAGGCGAGAGGAGCTGTGTGTGTGTGTGTGTGTGTGTGCATGCCAGAGGAGATGGGTAAACAATCTGCGGTGGCACTTCAGTGGGCAGCAGTCAGCCAGGCCTGTCAGGGAGCGAGAGCGCTAGCCTCGGCTAACGCTAACTCATCTGCCTGGCGTCTCATCAAAGCTGACAGGAGCGAGGGAAAGAGGAAGAAAGGGGAAGAAGAGGCCTGTCTGTTACGGAGCAAAGGCCTGCCTGTTCTCACCTTGTCGAGGGAGCCGTCGCTGCTGCTTTTGAACTGCTTTGTAAAAGGTTTTCTCGCATACGTCGAAGTGCTTTGAAAAACAGGGCGGAGTGACTTCACGCTGACATCCGTAGCCTGTAGATGAAAGCCCGGCACTGTGCTCGGGAAGATTGATCTGGTCAAATATTATGACATCGAGCCTCAGACGCCATCCGTGCTCTAATACTGCAACTCTCTCTCTCTCTCTCTCTCTCTACTATACCTGCGACTGTAGCTAATGATGGTAGCAGGCTGAGCACACAGCCTCCTGGCACTCCTCTCTGTTTCTCAAAGAACAGGGAGTGCTTAGTTAGTCTAAAATTCTGAACTAGGAAATTGCACCCATGGGAAGGGAGCCACAGATACGTAGAAATGTGGGGGGGTAGAAGAGTATTTATAAAGCTCTATTCTCTCCTGAGCCAGTTTGGAGACCCCAGTGGAGATGAGCACAAACCACGGATCTGAGAACAGACTGCCTCATGCACACAAGTCTCTAACCGCACACTGTCCCTTAATCCTTCACAGAAACTCATTACCTCAGTACTAATAACCTCTATAGTATGTACCATACAAGCAAGTTTCTCTTTCATTTGATAAAGTGATGTTTAATAAACTACCTCAGTATTGTTCATATAAAGTCCTGAAGGGCCACAACATTAATATTCTCACTCTGACTTCTCTCCGACATCTGTATGTGGTTTTGATGCTGCGTGACAAACTGTTATCTATAAAAATGGACATAGATACGTTGCAAGCCAAAAACAGCCAAAGCTATTTTAAACAATGGGATTTTTATCTGTACTTTCAAGTCATACAGTGTCAGAACCCACATAAAGGAGTCTGTTTGAAATATCTTAGCGTCCCAGTTTGAGGCAAGTGTGCAATGACTTAGGTTTGCGATTTGCACAATGCTAACTAGAAGCTAAATTAGCCTCATAGCTCCAGTTTAAAACAAAAGAAACAAACTTTCAACACATTTCAACATATCTTGGCTGTTCAGCTGCATTCGGAAGTGGGTAATACATTTACTCAGTTACACACCTAAGTAAAATTTTCAGGCCATTATACTTTTACTTGTACTCAAGTAACTTTGTGAAGACAGCTGTCTACTTTTTACAAAATTAGTCATTAACTTTTAGACACTAATTCCTTTTTGGTAATTAATTCCAATGTGTTACAGTGGTGACTGCATATATACTGCTTTGCCTTTGCTCACACCTCTGACTTTTGAGGTTTATCATTTTACTTTAGAAAAAAGAATCTCAAAAAGAGAACTGAGCATAACTAACTGCAGTTTCTAAGCCAATAGATGCTGGATGTGTTCTATTGCACTTCTATAAGTTACGTAGTACTTAAGTAGTTGTCTGACTTGATACTTCCTTTGATTTTTACTCAAGGTGTTTTTTGGAAAGGCCCTGTTACTTGGGTCAGTATTTCACAGAAGTAACAGTACAGTTTCTTGAGTCTGTGTTTAGGCTACTCTGCCCACCTATGACTACATTTAGAATAGGAAAAAAAACTCAGATTTTTAAAATGTTTTTGAAATATTAAACAGTGTTTTTAATGGTGTGGATGTCTAGTACTGTTGAGTTGAAGAAAAGTGTACTCTGAAATTTGATCTTGAACAGGATGCCATCTATAGTTATTACTCCAGCATGGCAGGACCTACTGATGATGTCCTTGCTCGACCATCTGACTCCTTGGCAACAACATCAATGACCCACGACCTGTGGTCAAGAGCCAGTGCAGCGACTCTCTCTCTTACAGTGTCCTTTCTCACTGGGCTTCGTGACCACCACCCCCCCTCAAATCTCCCTCCCTCTCTTTGTTTAAAAACCAGCGGCTTTAGGCTCGGCCCTGCTCTAATGAGATTATCCAGAGCAAAGTGTCACTAAGTAGGATATAAAATGGAAGCCATTATCTGGCATTATCTGCTAGCAGCCTCCCCATCCATCTGTGTGCCACCCACATAGCCACTAGTGTGGGATTAGGGCTGTGATTAGCAGGGGAGTGCTGCTTAAACACCTCAGTGTCCCTTCTCCCTCTCTCTCTCTCTCTTTGGGCTCTAACTTGCTTCTCCTTCTCCATAATGAGCAGAAGGAAGCCCCAAGATCAAGAAGTACTGCCACAGGACCATATTAAAACAGGCCAGAACCTGGCCTGGCCTCCTGATCACTTCTCCTCAGCCTTTCCTTGGCCTGCTTTGTGAGGGAACATCATGAGGCCTTCCACTCATCCCTCAATTTTCACACCCACCTGGAGACTTTGTGTGGGATTTGATTACTTTTATTTCAGTAAGGTAGTGGAAATGAGCTGAAGATGTCATGATGAGTGCATAAGGTAGGGGGTTGCTATATGTGCACGTTTTTTTCCCACTCTTTAACCTCTATTCACATCCTTCAACAAATCATTTTACCTACGTAATAATAATAGGTGAGCTATCCATACTATGCCCACGAATACATTCTTTTGTAGCTACTGCTGCATGGTTAGACAAGATTTACAGAAAGCTGGAAATGATTCTGTTCAGCCTAACAGTGGAAAACTTTTTTTTTTGCAAAATACCTACAGTTAAGAGTACCTTATACAATCAAATCATGTACTATTAACTGCATATGAAGGGACTTACTTCTAGCTAGCTAGCTCTTTTAGTTATTTTGGTGAGTTGAGTTAATGTTATCATAAAATAAATGTTTATGCTTTTGCTGCTTCCTTCCTCACTGGTTTTGATTAGCTACAACAACATAGCCCAGCTTAACTGGACACTTCACATTATGTAGTGAGTCTAAACACGGTGCTCATCTTTTGCAACCCTCTTCTCTCAGTACCTGTGATCTTGTCGCGGACCAGCTTGCAGGACTCGATTTCTCCAATGCTACCGAAGAGGCTGCGGAACTCCTCCTGGGTCATGTTCTGGGGCAGGTAGTTGACGATGAGGTTGGTCTTGCTGTCATCATTGGAGCCGCTGGTCTGCATGGGCGAGGGGCAGCTGCGACTGTTGCTCGAGGGACCATTGGCTGTGGCCGGATTCGGCCCATTCGTCACCTGAGGCTCCATGTTGCTGATTATCTGCGAAGAGCACGAGCAAGAAAAACAAAACTGAAGGAAACAGCTTCTCTCTTATTATTACAGATACATTCTTAAACAATAAGGTATTTGCTAATCTTGGGATCTAGAGATTTAAACAATAACATCATTTCTAGTCATGAGATCTAGGCTTTAAAGACATAGATTAAGCCTAGTCTTTGACTAAATTGCACTGTCATTGTGGATTATCCATTGACAGTGCTTTTTAGTGCAGGACCAGGCTTAGTCCGGATATAAACACCTAAGTACACCCCAAGCCACTGCATAAGAAATTTATCAAATAAATTAATTTACATTTATGTATTTTGTCTACTAACACTTATCAGATCTGTATTACCATTAACAGCACCATTTTAATTATCAAATGATTATTAAATCTAACTTCATTTAATAAAATACAGCAGAATGGCTGGGAGTTCCTGAGCACTTGAACTTGTTCTTCACATCAATGGTACAGCTTTTCACTGACAAGCACAACAGATAATACACAGTTAAAGAGCCCATATCCTACATAAACAATTTTTCTTGGATTTTATTTTTTCCCTAAGTTTACACTTAGTTTATGTTTCGGAAGCTATCATGCCTCTTTTACATGAACATTGTCCAATCTCTCTTTATCTCTTGTTTCTGCTACTGTGCCTTGAAAAGTGATATATGTAAATGAGTTCTGTTGGGATGTCACAAAAACAATAAACTCAGAATCAGAATCGGCTTAGTTTCCGTATGTGGACTATATGAACTAGATTGTGTTCACATACTACATGAAACTTTTTTTAAATGGAAATTCAGTTTTCCATTATATGGGCCCTTTAACACTACATATGGTACAGCCATGGGGAAAAATGCACTATTCTCTTTGGTTTTCTTTCTGTATAGGTGATTATTTGTGAGTTTGGCTTTGTGTTTTGAAGCTTGTCTTGGTGTGACAGTGAGCCCCTCGTTCTGATCTGCTGTCAGAGTGACCTGTTTGGCGGGCGTTTAGCGGTGCGCTTTCAGAGCAGGTGTTTGAATGCTTCGTGTTGGCCCTGAGGGAGACACAGCTGAAGAAGCTTTGCTTGTCTGCCTCCAAACGCTTTATTTTAAGATCCCTTTTGCTCTGCCACTAAATGTATGCAGCTATTAGCATAAAGGGTGTGGGTGCAAGGGTGTGTGTATGTGTTTAATTTCATCACTCAACTCTTTTTAGTGGGGGTAGGTGGCTATGGTAATGTCAACTTCTTATTGCTTAAGGTTTCTAACTCTGTGTGTGGTGTCTGTGTGTGTGTGTGTGTGTGTGTGTGTGTGTGTGTGTGTGTGTGTGTGTGTGTTTTAAGGCTGTCCTCAGGGTTGCTTCCTTTAAAAGCTGCTCTCCTGTCAGATGTACTCAGGGGAAGAAACAACAAAAATATGAGGCGTTGGAAAACTTTGAAGGCTTCACTTTAGCTTTTGCTCCTTTTCATACCAAAGATTCTGACCCTGGAAGACAGCATTACACACTGTATGCACACAGAACCTTGATGACTTTCTCATCGTGCGCAGGGTTTCGAAGTGACGGGTTTTTAGGAACTGGCCACGGGGACTCACAGGGGCAGCCGTCACTGTCAAAACATTTTAGTCGCTGCTAAAATGCATTTTTCTTTTTTAAATTCCCCTCTAAAGAAACAAATATGAATCAAAACCGGCTGAACTTGACCTGATTGTGACTAGTTGCAAGCAGGGCTGTTACCCAACCATGGTTAATATTCAGCTCTGCCTCTCCGACTGGCTGTGGTGTAATTCATATCGAGATCTAGAGCGAAGAGATGGAGGGGGAGACCCTAATGTTTCCTGCCGATGGATTCAAGAGTGGCAAATAATAGAGCGGAGAGGGGAAAGCTGAGATCTAAGCCAAAATACAGCCGCTGATATTTTTAGCTGTTCAAAAAATATTCTGTGTCTGTACTCTGAGGCTTGGTCCTCTCTTATCAAAGTCGGCATATTTAGAAAGGTTAACCAAATTAAAGCATCTGGAAAATTGTTTTCCTTTTGGTCTAACGCTAGGCCGGAGTTTGCATATTGACTATTTCTGATAACAGAATGAACAGAAAGTTAATTTTTACATTGTGAAGGTATAACCACATTAATTTAAAGGGCTCATATTCTATCATATTTTATCGCCCTTTATGCCTTATTAAATTAAACAGGCAAAATAAACAAGCAAAACAGGGAATTAAACAGGCTGTTTTTGTTACTGTGGACTTAAGACCGATATATGTAAGTGATCTCTGTCCTGTATTGTAGCTCATTCAAAAAGCAGTCTGGGCTGAAACATTCCTTATAATTTAACCTTGAAGCGGCATGGCTAAACTACTGTAGGCCTACTTGGGGGATTTACTGCTTGCAGCTTAGTTTCCGTATATAGACTGGGAGCGAAAGACATTTTGCAACAATGTTTACATACAACATCAAACTTTTTTATTTTTTATTAACAAAGGAGAATTTAATTCTCCATGATTTGGTGCCTTTAAAGTGACAAATTCTACTACTATTTTAATACTACTGTATACATCCCTCAGCTAAGACTAAAGATTCTTAGCTGAAAACTAATTGCAGGCAGGATATGTGGGAGACTTTACAGTCTCTCATTTGAGACTTGCATTATATTGATTTTTTTCTTTTGTCTCCAGTTTTCTGTCTCTGCACTCACACTCACAATTTCCAATATGACAAAATGATGCCTGCAGCCCAGAGGACGCCCATCTGCAAAGCTCTGCGGATGCACATGTAAATTACGCTTTTGACAGTATGCACAGCATAGTGAGACGGAGACACACAAAGGGGTAGTCACCATTTCAGCACGACTGGATTGCTATGCGTGTGTGTGTGGATGTGTGTGTGTTTGGGTGGGCATTATTAAGCCTGTTTACATCTCCTGCTGTGTACCATTCTGTCAGAAAAAAATACTTCCAACCCGACAGAATGTGAGCTTTAAATATTCAAATCCTCAAAACAGACCTGGCTGCTCATGTCACAATTGCCAATTAAACTCTTCTCCTCCCACCCACTCTCCTTTACTACCCACTCCAGAAATGCCTCTATTGTCCTCCAGCGCTTTAACTACTCTCCATCTTCTACTATGCCCCAGGGTGCTGAGGAGGGCAGTGTTTCTACCATAGGATCTGCTGGTGCTGACAGTGACCCTGCGCTGCTGGTCTGTGATCAGCTTTACATTTACTCTAATAAAGGATAGAGCAGCCTACTGCTATGACAGGGCATTGACTCTGTCTTATGCAAACTTATATTTAAACTAAGGGCCGGTATTGACCAATACTGAGATTAATTGTCTAATTGTCACCTGCAAATTTGTCAGTTTCTTAATCTCAAATAAACAGCAAAAACTTACAGCATTCAATAATATAAATAATGTAGCACAGGGGGTGGAACATCCTGTATTGCCCTAATAGACATTAAATAGTGGTGATTAGTCTGTAAAAAGCCTTATCATAAATCACTAAATACTCAAATCTGTTTCACAGGAAAAGCCACTGTATTTTATCATAGTGTTTTCACAAATAGCAATGAAACTGCAAGCAATAAATATCAGCTAATATTATAGGCCAACTGACGTATTGGTCAGGTCCTACTTTAAACATGGCTGGGGGAAATTGTGGTAACACTTTCTTGAAGCGCAGCTTTTATGAGGTTACACAACACCTACATAAGCCTTTCATGAAAACTGACACAAACCTACAGTCGCATGCAAAAGACTAAATATACCTGATCAAATTACACTGCTGAGTGAAAATAAGTTAACACATCTTCTACAGGAAACAAAAGTTAAATAAAGCACTTTTCTACAAATTATAGTGCACAATTTCTATAATTTCTATTTATGCTGAGTTTAACATATTGGGAAAAAAAAAACACATTTATTAAGGCTTACTCCAACAAGCATCAGTTGTCATAACACTGGCTGAGAGGAAATGACATAAATGAACAAAAGTAGCCTTTGCGACTACTGCTGCTTGTTAGAATAAGCCTTTATAAAAGTTTCTACAGGTTTATGTCAGTTTGCCATTAAAGGTTTATGTAAGTGTCATGTGGCCTTACGAATGCTGCCCTTAAGTAAAGTGCTGCTGAAATTTTAAGCCTCTGTATAGGGTAAGCTAAATGGGCATCATTAATATGTGCACTGTTTAGGATAAGCTAAAAAAGGTCAGCGATAGAATATGCACTGTGCATAAGGTAAACTGTCTCGATTGGGAGAACATACAGTACACACAGCCTCAGCATAGAGGTCAGGATATAGTGTTCTCTGAGGCAGTCAGGCTCTCTCTAGGCAGGCCTGGCTGGGTCTGGCGCAGGCAGAGTGAGAGAGGAAAGCAGGCAGAGAGAGACAGGCAGGCTAAGCCATCACAGAGGGCTCGGTGTCAGCCTGAGGACAGACATCAGCTTCTCTCTGATTCAGCTGAACAGCAGCCCCAGATTACACTCCTTTATTTCCTCAAACGCAATGGCAGATCTGCCGACTGTTTCTGAATGCTGCGCCGCTCCGCTCAGGCTGTGTGTGTGCGCGTGTGTGTATGTGTGTATGCCTGAGTGTGTGCGAGTGGGAAGGAAGTGGCTCTGCCACTCTGCCTTACATAAGTGCCTTAGAGAATGTCAGGATGGGGATAAAAATACAGGTTCAACCAGTCTAATGTCCCTGAGTCAAGCAGATCCAGAGGTGTGTGTGTTTGTGTGTGAGTGTGCGTGTGTGTGTGATGCGTTTCAGTGAGTGTCTGTGCTACCTGCCATTTAAACAGTGCACTATAATGGCCTTATTAGCGGTGATGCTGAAATGTCAGGCTCTATTCTAATATGTGTTTTCACTGGTTATGCTCTCCGGTCATTAGAATAGCCTGAGGGCGGTGCCTGTCTCGGTGGAAGTGTGATCTTATTTATGTGCCCTACGTCAGCAAAATCTAGGAAGAAACAAAATATGGCTCTAGAAAATGAGGCACAGGTAGAAATTAAGGAGATGGCTACATCAGTACGTTTTTAAAATGTGCTAGCTTTATGAATCTTCGCATCCTTAATGGCAAGGCCTCAAACCTAACAAGCTAGCTAGCGCTGCTAGCATTCATGAGAAGAGCAAACAAATTTATGACATTACATAAAAGCTGTCAAAATCCGCGATGTAAGCCATGAGCACAAAGGCACCTTTGACCCTCCAAGCCCCGGGCCGCAGTGCGCACGGCCTTTATCTACCCCAGCGTATGGGAGGCAGCAGGGCAGCAGCAGTTATGGTGGTAAAAATGGCAGTAAGTGGGTGGCAGTCTCCTTACCATCTTTGGCTGTGTCAGCAGTCCTTTGTCAGCCCAGCCCTGGAGCTGCGGCAAGTCTGCCTGACGCCACTGAGTCTCTGTCGATCCCTACAGGAGTGGGGGGGCAGGGTCAATATTCAGACAGGCCTATTTTCTCTTATACCAATCCACTCTACACAGCCAGCCCTGACGGTCTCCAGGCACACTAAAACACACAGGCGGCTTTTCGTTTTGGACCTTGGAAGAAATTTAGTCGGCGCCTCCTCCGTAATGAAGTATGTGTGGGGATGATTTGATTCAATGTGAGCTGAAATTTGGCTCGATTCAATTCAATTTTGATCCATATCAGGGTCTCTTAAAGTGGCTGTAGTCACAAGGCGGCTTTATGGAATGTTTTATGGCAATCTAGGTATTTTATTCTCTGCTATATTCTTTATATTAGAAAACTGCTAGATGCTATGTGCTAAAAATGATACTAGGTCTTTTTGATATGCTAAATGTTGCGTTAGCAAGGAACACCTCTTTAAAAAAAGACAACAGAATGAATCTTCCCTGCAACCCCCAGGTTCGCGAGGCAGATCTTTTGCTTGAGACCAACCAAGCCGGGGATGCCGCAAATCACAGCCGAAGCCGTGAAGCCGGCAGCGAAAACAGCCAATTTAGGAGGAGAGGAGGACTCTGAACCTAACCTTTCCCTCAGATGGAAGGGACAGAGAAGGTGTGTAATGGGAGCCATCCAGAGCTCGATGATGGAGGATACACTTCAGCATCAGAGAAAAAGAAGGGGAGGGAGGGGAGGAAGCCATGTCATCAGCACATCCTTTAAGCGTTAGCATGGATGCTAGGGCATTTTAGGCGCGGGAGAAAAATGGACTGTCGGCTAAAGTGGGGATGGGAGAGGAAAGGAAAAGACACTGGGGGAGGTGGGGAGTGGTGGTGGGAGCGGCTGCTTCGCTAACAGCTAACAGCTATTGCTGCAGTGCTCTAGGGGCAGGGGGCAGTAATTTGAAATAGAGAATAGAGTCCAGCTCAAAGGGCATTTGGAATCTTTTTTTTTGTCGTGCCACCTTGGTTTTAGCTTTAGTGAGGACCGCAGGGTATGACATCACATTCTTATTGCTATGGTAATGAAACATAGTGCACATTCATCTTTCAAAGTAATTTAAAGAGAATTCATAGTACGTTGCTCTCTGGTCAGGCCTCTACCACAGATTATCAGCATGAACCAAATGCATAGCTACTGATAACACGTGCAGAATGATTCTTCAAGGTGAGAATATAGGGATGACACAGCCAACTGATGCACCAGATTTGGGCGCATCATTCACAGTTTCTAAAAAGCAATCAGTCACTCTGGTTTCTAGCAGAAGGACAGATTAATGTCCTTAGATAACAGGAGGGAGAGGACAGACTATAAATGAATTCATTCTCTGTTTTCACTGACCTTTTCTCCAAGCTTCTATGACTCAAACTGTGAAATATGAGACAATGGTGGAATACTTCTTTTTGTTCTAGCTGACTGTCTCAGCTCTCTCTAGCTATCTCTAGAACAGAGCCTGTGAAACATCTGCTATTGTCCACCATGATTATGCCACAGAAACAAACATGCATACATATTAATGCATAGGTGTTTAACATAATTGCTTACCGAGACTCTTTTCACTTACAGCCCCTTTTGCTCTGGCTTAGCAGCACTGTACAAAACCCATTTCCTTATCACTTCTCTACAATGTGATTTCAATCCAAGATAACATTAACCCACATTCCTTTTTCACACAGTTTTAAATTTACATCAAGAAAATACATAGACTTTTGTGAACACTACAAACTGGACAATAGTCTTAAATTTACATTAAGGAAATACATAGGCTTTTGTGAATATTACAAGCTGGACAATTCACTGTGGAAAGAAATGCAGGCTAATATTGTTTCACAGTTGGAGCTAGCATATTGCAGGGAAGTGATAAGGAGAAAGGCTGCTTGCAGTTCTGCTCAAGCCTCACAGAATGGAATATAATTTTGTGAAAAAAGGGCTCGGTAAGCAATAATTGTACACCATCTTAAGGCGTGCATTGCTAAAATGGAAGCTTGCAGTTTTGAAATGAAACCAACTTGCATTGTAGCTCTATGAACAGACTTGCATTTGCAGTAAAACTACCTAATCATCAAAATGAATGTCGGGGACAAACAACTCGGTCTTGATAGAAAGTGTGTGATAAACAGCAATTTGCTTGAAGAAGAATGGATCTGTTCTTTATGTGCATTATGGGAAACATATGCATTTGAGTGGGCAAATTAGAATATGAGTAATGACAGATGCAGCAGAAACATTGCTGAAGATTTTGATGGCAGTATAGGAGATCATTCTTAAACATGCTCTCTCTCTCTCTCTCTCTCTCTCTCTCTCTCACACACACACACACACACACATACACGCTTGCATACATATATACTCATACAACTGCCAGTGAAACGTTATTCATATTATCAATACCAGTATTACAAATAGCAGTACTCTTTGCACTTCATGTCACATATATGGTAAACCAAGATGGTGCAGGCCTATTCAAGTGAATGAGGTGAAAAGGGGTACAGTTCCTGTCTGCTTAAGTCTTGCATCAACCGCTTCACCCCTGCCCCCGTCTCCCGGAGCAACAGCAGCAACCTGTGCAAAAACACTGGGGCTGATCAAACTCGAGACAAAACTGTTTTTTCTTAAAATCAGCTCATCGGAAAATGCTTGTTTCGGTTTAAAATAATCACAAGATCCTAACGATTATAAAAATGCCCACAACTTCCCTGTAATCTTAAAATGGGGAAAAATAATCACTTAAGTTTGGTGACATGGGCAGAATTTCCTGCTTGTGCGATGGGGCTTGGGTTTCTGTTGTCTGCTTAAGGGGGGAAGGAGTCCCCTCGCCCCCCCCATTCGTCAAAACTACGTGACTGCATTCCCGGAAATATTTTAACGTGTTGGCTCTCAGCATCATGCATCATCTCTGGTAAAATGCAGCATCTCTTGCTCTCTGTACAGAATCATGCTTTACTCCCCCTGCTGGTGCGGTTCACAATAAACCAAACACCACCAACACAAGTATAACTAACCAAGCCTATTCTTCTCTAACCTAGCAGATCCTAATCTAATCCAATTTAACCCCAACTAACCTGACTGACCCGTCACAGTCACCAAGCTTGTATCTGAACAAGTTCTGCCACAAAATGGACGATCAGTAAAACACACCATAATTTGTGTGTGTGTGTTGTACGTTTGAAGTGAGATCGTCCATCACAAAATGGAGGCTCACCTGGAGCACCTCCTTATGTTTGGAGTATCCTGCAGTCTTATAATTCTGTCTCTTCTGTTCTGGCACTCTGAGCTCCAGAGAGCCTGGCCCAATGAACCAGCACAAAAGCAGGACGAGAACAATATTTATGAACAGGCTGAGAATTGGCCTTTTTCCTTGTAGACTTGTGCGTGCACTCCAATTTATTTGTGCTGGCAGACAAGCGGAATGCTGTGAATTTAACTCGCCTTTTCTTTTCCAATACTTTGACAGCATTGTACAAGTGGAATATGAAACTGTTATTTCAAAGTCACATTACACTGATGGTGTAGATAACTCTGTATGGCAATTTCAAAATGGAAATTGCAGAAATATCATCAATTGTTTAAAATCACATGTAATAATATAAAGAAATAATTACAACTGAAGTGTTTCATTCCAAAATGCTGTATATCCATGGGTAATAATGTTGGATATAACACGTTTTTTAAAACGAATAAAAGCCAATGCGTAATGAAAAGTATGAGGAATAAAGGTGGCATTATGTGTCTAAAACCCTCTATCAACAATGTATATCATGAAAAAAAATCTTAAAAGTGGTCTTTAATGCCTTTTGCAAACCCTTTAGTTATATAATATACACTAAAGTTATGCTTTTGGATCATTTACATGCTCTGCCATGCCAATATTAGTTTTACCTATTATGTTTTTCTTACTACAGGATGACTGACATAGCTAACAATGTGGTAATCTATGACATTTAAGATAATTTAAGATAATTGTAATGATTTTAGTTGGTAATTGTTTCAAATAATGACCATTGGGTTAATAATATATAACTAGAACATATTATTGTTCCAGTTATTTTTATTATTATTAATACAAATTGAGAAATTGAGCTGAGGGTACATCTCTTTTCAGCATTATCCAAGGTTACAGGTTTGTCCCTAGAAACCACGCCCAGATACACTGTGCATGCATGCTGAAATGCCAGAGGGGACCCAAGCTGTCAAAACTCATTCAGATATGAGTCTTTATACATTTCTTGTATCTTAACAACAGGTCAGTTTGGTTCTGTGTGTGTATTGATTTTTTAGTTTTTAATCTCTGCGTTTTGCGCCTGCATCTGGGACGCCTCCCCCCCGGCTACAGAGCGGCCCTGGGTCAGACAGATGCTTCGGCAAATCAATCCCGGCAGTAATGTGGGACGGCATGCGCTGAGTCTGCCCAGCTCCACCGCCATCGATCCGCATCTACTTTAGCAAATGGGTTTCTTCTTCTCCTCCCTCACTTCTTCTCTCTCACTTTCTCCCTCTCTTTTCTTGAGTGTCTCTGAACATCAAATGTTTCAGCATAAAAGCAGTTTTTCATTTAACTTCTCTCAACACTTTTCTCTTTTTTTGCATCCAAACATTCTTCTTTCTTTCTCCTACTACTTCCATATTCCTCCCTTTCTCTCTCTCACTCTCTCTTTCACACCCTGATGTGATGGCTGCCAAGGGTGTAACAATGTCAATATAATAAAGAAAAAACAAAACAATGATTGTTCAAAACAGTGTATGGAAATGTTTAAAGATTGCCGACACTCCCCTCAGTCTCTTCTGATCGGAAAAATAAACATTTAAAAAGTTTGACAAAATGCTTGTTTTGAGGGTCTTTCTTCGGCATGTTTCATAGAAACCACTGTGAGTGATCAACACTAGGCTTCTAGCTACATTCTGTCAGAGTAAAGTAGGCAGGGAGGGGAAGGGGCATATGCTGTTTACACACCGACGCTCAGATGACTAGGCTTTTTTTTTTAATTGAAGTCATTTAGAAATTTTA